CAACCAGGAAGACTGATCCCTCAGGCTCATGTGTGCTCATCTGCTTTACTGGCAACTATTTAGTGAAACTAAGGACATTTTTTATCCTACCATAATCATTGAAGAGTTCCAAATCTATACAATAAAGGGTAATTTGAATGGAGAGGCTTATTTTTCTTGTATTCATTAGAGCATGTTAAATTGGTTTAAGAAATGCTTCATTTTCTGGTGACACTGGTCACTCCCTATACTCAGAAACACTACGAAAAATCATGTAAGCGTTAGAAGATCGCACATTTACTTCATTATTTGGAACTTTATGCCACATTTGGCTTGATTCTGCCTTTTTCTATGCAGTCCCTCTTCTCATCTTGAGCTACCACTCATGCTCAAATTCACACACTAAACAGGAATTTTCTCCCCTCCTAAGGATTTTAGTGTGCTCTGTAGTGAATGCCACCTTCCAGTGCTTTAACACAGTAAATACTGTGAAAATTGAAGGTAAAATACATCCTATAATCCCAAAGCCATTATTGATTGTATGTCTCTCTTCTTTTTAAGTTACATCTGTTAATGTTATACTTAATTATACTGCATATAAGAAGATAATATAAACTAAAAGAGGCTTGTCACTGTTTTCCAATATGAGTGACTTGTCACCTTTGGGTACTGCGAGACTGGCAGTTTAAATCGGGTAGAAATCACATGCTTTAGAAGGCTATTTTTTCCATAGAGTCCAGCTCTGATCCAGCACCCATTGTACCAACAGTGAAGTGGAGATGTGGAGGAATATTAAAATAGATTTGGCTCTGACTTTTCAGTGATGGGTCCATTAACAATAAAAGGTGACAGCACGACTCTCTTTAAATGATGCAAGATGAAGTTTGTCTCTAGCAGTCACTTAAAAGACTTGCTCAGCTTTGGTCCTAGCTAAACTATACCAGGAAGAACTTGAGTCATACAATCACAGAATGGTTAGCACTGGAAAGGAACTTAAGATCTTTTGCCAGAAAAGGTAGATGAGGTCCCTACTGGGGAACACATTTTCTGCAGCCTCAGATCCATGATGCAGTGTTTTGGATGATGTCAGTAATTCACTGAAGCAGTGACACAACCCAGCTTACATAGGTTAAATGATTCTGAAATTAATCATAAAACACCTCACAATCAGATGCAGGTTAACAACCAGAACTGCATGTCAACAAAGCGTTCATGAAATACACCTGCAAAATTAGAGATCCCTTTTCACAGGAGGAGTTACAACAGCAGCATCCTGTTCCACTCTCCTCAATGGGAATTATACTCCTGAACGCTTCCACGGAGCATGAGGACCTTCATCAACTAAATAACATGAAATATTTCACCCTAATTTCTGCTGCAGTGTAATAGGACTGCTAAATTGTCATACACAATGTAATCAAACCCATCCTAACTTTTAAGGATACAAATCTGAGTGACAATAGCTGCAACCTTGCCCTATAATCCCACCATAAGATACAATATAGGACAAAAATCAGATCTTTGGATCCTCATTGAGTCTAAGTACAATGAGCCTGTGTTGCAGATGGTCCAGCATAATACATCTTATATGTATACAATACACTTTAACATGAAAATATGACTTTAAAGAGATAAATTTTCAAATTGTACATGATTTGGGCATTACATTGGGAGAGTGGGAAACTCCCTATATCCTTATCAGTACCATAAGAGAATTCATTTGAGAGTCCTCCAATACATGAGCAAAACATAAGACCTTAGTCTACATTAGTCTACATTTAAATAGGAAAACACCACCCTTGAAAAAGAAGAAACAAGGAACAGTTCACATCATTCCACAGCAGAATTCCTTGTCCATTACAATAGAACACATAGAACCAAAAGAAGCATCAGAAAACTGGCCAGCTTGTTTCAAACAACATCTTCAAGAAGAAATGATATTAAATATAAGACCACACACACATCCACTTGCTTCTCAGCAAGGACTCAGAGGAAGCAAGATTTTAAGTTATCCAGTATTAAAAAGTAGGGATTTTTTTTAAGTCGCACACAAAGAACACATAAAACGCTGAGTGTTGGCCACAGAAAGGAGACATCCTCCAGACAAAAGCCAGGTATAGCTGATGGGCGAAGGGAACAATTAACAAGGGGAGAAGCAATACAACCCCATCGACCAGCCGGGGGTCGCAGGTCAGGGAGCGCAGAGAAAGGGTGGACACGGGAAATACGGAGCACAGACAGCGGGCGATGGCAGACACCCCAGTAACACCCCTTCCTTCACACAGATTTAAACCTGGGGCCAGGAAAAGGGCCCAGGAACAGCCCACCGCCCTCATCCCCAGGGCCCGGCCGCCCCCTGAGGCCCCGGGCCCCTCAGACTCACCTCATCCGCACTCAGCTCCTCCATCGCCTTCCTCTTAATGGTGAACGGAGGGAGGGCGCTTTCCTCTGCCCCGCCGCTCCGAGGAAGCGCTCTCCTGTCGCCTCTGCACCTCCGGGTAGCCTCACAAGGGCATCTCCGGGGCAGCCGTGCCGCGCCTCACCCACCAACAGCCGGCTCCGACCCCACCGCCGCCCCCGGCCCGCTCCCCGCCTGCCCTCCGCGCCTCGGCTGCTGCCGCCGCGGCCTCAGGGGAGCCGCAGCCCCGCTGCCCCCGCCAGTCCGCACCCCCCGGGCTCAGCCTCAGCCCCCGCCCGCACCGCGGCCCCTGCCCCGCGCGGGGATTATTCATCAAAACAAGAGGGCAGCGACGGCCATCTTGGGGCGGGATCACGTGAGACTGCGCGGCGCCGCGGAGGGAGCCGGGCATGCCGGATCCCCGCGCTAGGTGCCCAGCCAATGGCAGCGCGGGGAGGCGGCGCGCGGGAGGGAGGGAGGGGCCGGGCGCCAGCTGCTCGTTCGTTGAGGGGGCGGGGGGCGTGGCCTGATGGCACCATGGCAACGGGCGCGAGGGCGGTGCTGAGGGGGGAAAAAGGGCGGGAAGGAGGCCGCAGGGAGGGGCGGTGGGAGCTGAGGTGGGGTTTGGGGTTGCGGTCGGCCCTTCTTAACGGGTCGGTACGTTCTCCGCTGCTTTAAGGCGTTGGAACGCGCCTGGGTGAGGAGCGATTGGGATAGTAGTTTTTTTTTGTCGAATTACTACAATCCGTGTAATGTGCACTCAAGCTTCCAGTGGGCCTCGGCCAAGTGTAGTCTGAACCTGAGGTATTTTCTGTCTTGTCTTCTGTAAAAACACAAGCTTTTCTGCGCCTGGTTCTTTCATTATACCACAGAGTTACGTTTTTGTGAGATATATTAATTTTTCCTTCTCTTTTCTCTCTCCTTTGAAATGAAACTGCTCTAGAGAATAAAATGAGGTCTGCGTTGGCTTTAATTGGATACTTGCTTCCAGTTCTGCTTGTCTGATCCATTATAATATGTGTCGACTGCTTTTGGTTTTCCATTATCTCTTTTGATTGTAGAATCTAGAAAGCAGCGTTTCTGTTCACCTCTATAAAGTACTTAAACATGCAGCTGGCATACCTTAAAATCAGAATATCCATGGTCAGCAGTGGTGACGGAAAAGATTCCCCATCAAAGCAATATTGTAAGATAATTGGAGCGAGGAGAGCCCTTCAAGTGCTCCTCTGGGGAGGTTTGTTCTTGTCCTTCAGTTCTATAGCTGAAGTGCGTACCTTGGCAAAGGCTAACTTAACGTCTTTTCTTTCCCCCCATGTCTAGAGCATGTGATTGCTCCCTTACTTGTTTTACCTGGCATTTGAACGTGTTTAATTTGTATTTGGTGAACGCATGTGAATTCGTTTGCATAGAAATGAAATCAGGGTAAGCAGTTTTGTAGCTGTAGGACCTTCTCTCATCCTCAAGATCCCCAAAGCATCCTCAAGCAAGCTCTGCATAGCATTGCCTGCTTTCAAATCAGTTTAATGCAGGAAGGAAAGTAGTATCACTGCTAATAATAACTTTTCTGGATTTCTAACTGTAAAGAGTTCCTAATAGCAGCCTTACTAATGAATTATTGCACTTCCAGTCACACAGGTTTCTAAGGCTTCATTTTTCTGATGTTTACTTGGAGTCTCTCTTTGTACTGAGTTCCTAAGGTCATCGTTGCCTTCCTGTATTGCTTTTCATGCGTGTCTTAAAAGCTGTGGGGTTTGAGGGGATTTGCAATATTTAACGCTTAAAATACTGCTGTTAGGAACCTCTACAACTTAAATAAGGACTCGATACGTTCCAGAGGTGCCATCTAGTGGGGTAGCCAAGTGTGCGTTACTGGTGCCGTGTATCGTTGATAGTGTGACACAGTAGGTCTGCTGCATGAATTTCTTATCTATATTAGAATAGCATGGGAACAGCAGTTTCATTTTCAGATAAATGAAAACTCCTCAGTTTCAGAAGGAAAGCACTGTTAGGACCTATAGAATAAACACCAGGCGTTTTATGCCTGGTTCCCCAAATTTCCCTAACTGTATAAAGAGTATTAGCTCTTTTCTCCGTGTTTTGGAAGCTAGATTACATTTACATAGGGCTCTAATAATCGGGGGGGGTGTTTGTCAGTCTAACCAAAAGGCCTGCATGCTTCATCAGACGTTGTCATCTGCCTCTGGTGGTAGCTTTAAGAATTTGGAATGACAAGGATTATCAGAAAGGTGGTACTACTTATATTTTTAAATGTCAGGAATTACTTCAGAGGTTTTTGTAATAGAAAGTAATTAAGCTAAGATTAAGCTAGATTTAATCAAACTCTCCTGATTAGAGATAAAATCCCTGCAGTGTTAGTGTTAGGAACAATATGCAGCAACTCATTTCACATGTAACTTTGATCTGATCGCTTACATGTGTTTACATGAGGCGAAGAAAGCCTACTTCTCTATGCAGCATTACACAAGGTCAAAAAGAAAACCATTTAACCTAATTGAACAGATGTATGCAGATAAATCTTGACTAAAGCAGCATTGTTTTCACGCCATGTACGTGCTTATAGAGTTCAATTATTTTGCAGGCTGGAATCTGTGTGGATTACTCAGACCTATCTTCATTGTTCTGAGATCTCATCACAGGCTGGTTTCCTCTGGTAAGCTGAACTTAATTGTTTTTGAGAACAAAGCAGCTAGAGAACAATACAGGACCTTACATTACACTTTTAAGATACAAACAAGTGGAGTTAACTACAATGAATCTTGAAGATAAACATTTTGAATAATAAATCTGTATCATCCCTGTTTTGTTTGATATTGGCACACACCTTTAGAATAGACAGGTTTTCTTGTTTTGATTTACACTTTGAATTAACTAGAGACTCAAGCCATATCACATACATTTTGGATTGGTTTTGGTTTTTCCTCCGAAAACATGTTCAGAAGTCAGGTAGTGAAGATTGGTTTGGTTTTAGACATTTATTAGCAAAAATCAGACACTGGCAACTTACTGACTTACTTCCTGAGCCAGAGACATCACAACATTTATTTAACAGGTACAAGGAATCAGTTCTTCTCCATAAAACCACTGCTGGACACAAGAATGCAGTCTCCTGTACGTAGCTGTCTCTCCACATAGGAGCAAGTATATGTGTTCAGGCTCTCTTGAAGACCTGTCTACATACTTGATTCTCACAACGAAGCTCCTACAAACAAAGCCCAAATTATAGATGTACATAGTAATCAAAGGAACTTATTCTAAAAGTGACTATAAAACCTTTGCCATGACTACTGACCACCACTCTGCTGCCATGCTAATAAGTTATGATTAACATTCTGAATTCACTTTACACTGAAACAATGTTGTTCCACCTAAACTAAAATCGAAGCAGAATGTATTTTCTATGCACCATACATTACAAATACTGCAGAGTTAGAAGTAGACTTCTGCACACCCTGCCACATTATAGATCTTATTTTTGTCATATAGAGACAGAATAGGTAGAAATATGAAGTAAATACCAGGTGGAGGTCATCTCCTTCAAGCCAGTGAGTCCAGCCCCTATTCTTCTTCTCACCAGTCTGGACACAGACAAGTTTGTCATTTTCCCAGGTAACTAGGGTCTGTGGAAGAGGAAACAAAAAAGTGTTTCTGTACTACTTTGTCTCACTTCTGCAATATACTCGCAGACAATGTCCTTTTTTTCCCTGGATAAAAGGGGACCTAAATATGACTCCTAATGGACAGTGAAACTCTGTGCCTGTAACTTGGGCTCCCATCTCTGTACTGCATTACAATTAGTATTCTTGAAACAATTTCCGCTCAAATAGCTGGATTGATCATGTCATCTTAATTTTGTGATGGCCTCTTGATTTTATATATTCAGTCTTACCTTGCATTTTCTATTATCCAGGCCTTTATTGTCTTCTTCAAACTCTTCTCCAACTTTGAACTGAAGCACATAATCTCTGAATGTGCTAGTGGTATGGATATAAAACGAATCACCCTCTTGTTTGATAACTTTCTGAGGCTTCAGCATTTTTGCTATCTTGCGTGTTGCAAAGTCGATACCTTAGGCAGGAGGCAAAAAGGTCAGAGCTGTATTTATCAGCAGCCATTTTGACAGCCACTCAAAATGGCTTTATTACTACTAGAAGCATTTCTTAGATAGTTTTACCTTACTGCTATGCAAGGTTTTGTGGTTTGATTGTTCTTGTTTGAGGTTTTATGGTTTTAAACTGTGCCTTAACACAGTTCAAGTCATGTTCTTGTACATTTTGCTCTTTGGAAACCAGTTTACTTGGTTGTTGCGCAATTCCTATGCAAGATTTCTAGGACTTCAAGGAGGCCTTTTAGGAGTTGGGGTGAGTTAGTTTCCCACACAGTCACCCTAAACTTGGTGTCATGCTTACCAGCTGCTTAGATTAAGGGAGTAGTTAATTCCTACTCCCATTCTTTGAGACAGGAAAGGCATTAAGTAAATTAACAAGACATCTTCTCACCCTGTACCTTAAATAGGGTAAAATGAAGGACCGTCCTAAAATTAATTACTCAGGCTTGTTTTCAGAACATGCTATTTGCTACTAACCCTTTTTAAGTGCAACTGGAAAACATCACATTTGTCAAAAGATTTCCTAGTTATCTGTAATGGTCCTGATGTCCTTGGTAATACTGAGTTTAAAGCAGTGCTTCTGAACTTCTTTCTGTTTCTCCAGTGAATGTTTATTTCTTTAGAGAAACAGCCATCTAGTTGTCAGGCAGCTGCATTACATTGCATGCGAATAGCATGCTCCAAGTCAGGTTCTCAGGAAGGGGATGGTAAAATGTATATTAATTTAGTTGTTTTCATCACCTAGATTAAAACTTTTGTTTTATAGGACCATTAGAAGTTTCTTACTTTATGCAGGATGGGGTTGTGATCTTGACAGGGTGGGTTCAGCTACCATGTGTTGAGCCACATGGCTCCTTATGCAGTCTGTGTTTGAGTGGGGCTTGATTGCTGTATGCATTATAGAAGTGCCAGAATCTGTCAGTCATATTTTCACATGGTTACCAGTTTATTTTTAGCATAGAGGGGTTTGAATTCAGTATTGGCAACAGCCACACTCAGGAAGCCTTAACATTGGTGTAAGAATGTGTCTGTACAAACTGCTTACAAATCTACTCTTACCTCTAACAAATGTTAGAGGTAGGTATTAAATTGAAGGTAGGGCTAGGCTTGACTTTCTAGTTTCTCAGCTGATTTGATATTAGCCTCTTGACTCTTACTTACCCTTTCAGAAAAGCTTTTCATTCAAGCTCTACAATACTGGTTTCAGCCTTTGTTTTATTCAGTATACTGGCAGCCAAGCAGGAGTAATTAAAGATAGGTTGTAAATCATCAACAGGATTCTTTGCCTTTACTTTTAAGTAAGTTTCTTCAATTACATCCTGAAAACAAATTGCACTTTTCACAAGATTGCTAGTTACATTTAATTTTAAGAAGCCCTTTACTTACCTCCACAATGCTTATTATCAAGGAACAGACAATCCCTATTCCATTTGAAGACATTAAAGCATTAGGAGTATATTACTTAGTGTTCAAACTGAGGAATAAATTCTCATTGTAAGAGCAACCTTTCTTGTTGATTAGAAGGATTAGAATCAGAGAATAGTTCTTTCACCATGTTAAAGATACAAACTAGCCTGCTTAAGTATGTCACCCAGCATAGATACAGCCACAGAATAGATTTCATTCTAGTTGTGTATACAGTAACCAACAAGGAACACTGCTGGTCATCAGTTTACACAAGTCAAAAAGGCAGAAAGGGGTGGGAGAGGCCGGGAAAAGGGAAGGCAGCACTCAAGGTTCCCTGCTGTCACTGTCTGTAATACGCTTTGTACAAGAAAGTTAATAAAGTACCAACAACTTTAGTTCCCTGTTAAAGTGCTGTTAATCTCTGTAAGAGATCTGAGCAAGCTGAGAGGTTAGCTTCAAGCACTTCAGAAAAGGGACAGTTAGACTCATCAACAAGTCACAGTAATGAGATGAGGATTTTGTAAGCTGTTTAAATGATACTAAACTAAACAACTGCCTGGAAGTGGCAAATACCCAAGAACTTTTTTTTTGTTACTTAACAATTAACCCTAGACATAGGTTCTGTAAGTTTGTGCTTCAAGGCAAGAGAAGGTGAGTGGATAGGGCAAGCTCTTCCCTGTCTCTGATGAAACCTATGAAAACATTCTACTTTTAACAAGTATTAGGCTGAGAAATCCCTGACACTTGCGTGGCAGGTTATAAAGTATAGTTAATGCTGTCTCTTTATCATTCCATATCATGTTCCTTCCATTGGTTATCAGAGAAAAAAGCTTCAGCAATATCTAGGTTTTAGAAGAATTCAGACTGCTAAAATTCAAGAGGACCCTTACAGGAAGAATAGAATCAGGTATTTGCACCTACCTAAGGCCACCATATAACCTTCAAAGTTGTCATTGCTGACAAGGTTCCAGGTCCCATTGAAATCCACAGGCATTGCCAGACTGTGGAAGGAAGATGCAGTCAACCTCTGGCCAAAAATCAAAAATGAAGAAATAGTTTTCCAACCAGGCCTTATATAGGGAACACTGTGGGTGGGATTACATCCTGGAGCCTTACTGATGGAGGGGAAGGGTCTTTTGCTGAGCCAATAGGCAAGAGGGTGTACATCAACTGTAGCTGCGTTGGAGGGAAAAGTTCACAGTTACTGAAATCCTTCTGTGGAGCAAATGTTAATAGCCCAAGAGTTGCAGTACAAACCAAGAACTGGTTTGAGAACTGGTCCCTCTTTCATACTGTAAAGGGAAACATGGCCAGATTTTGCCATTACTAAAAGTCCCTGTATGTATATTAGGCTTTATGATCTGATATATGCATACATGTTGAAAAGGTCATCTAGCCACAGAAATACATGCTGTATTTTGTATTTGAACAGACAGAAATTGACTGTTTAGCTCTGAGTGGTATTGCCTCAGCAAATTTTAAAGTACCTCTGACAGAGTAATGGAGACAAGCATTTTATCTTGTTGGTTTATGTCTGGGGTGAATAGTAGGCAGCATCACTATTTAGTGGTTATAACAGAAAAGTGACAGACAAATCCTGTTTGTGTATGTTATTCTCTGATGTGACTCTCAACACCACTCTGCTATGCCACGGTTTACTTATTTGTGTTCTGATTTCTTTAATGCTGTTGGCTATATGCTAGTTGAATGTATACATTAAAAATTCTTTATTTTCTGAGATGCTTTACCAGGCAGAAAGTTCGTGTAACAGTTAAGCATGAGAGAGCAGATCCAGAGGCCTGACCTGTTTCCAGTTCTGCAGCTTTGTATTTATGTTTTCCTAGATGGGAAAGAGGACAGATACTTCTTCATGCAATCCACTTTCTATTCCTAAAAATAACCAATAACAATAGCAAATTCAAAAGTTACTCTCGTGTATATCGAAAATGTACCTCCCCCCTTTGCTTTTTATTCTTGAAACACACAGTAAAGGAAAGATGATACAGAAGTTATTCCCACTGGTGCATTATTAGATCCTATATCACATACAGAGAGTAGAGCACAGGATGCAGCAGGTAAGCTTCGTTGTTGGACTTCTATCTTCAGCAAAGAAGTGAAAGAAATCTCCTAAGTGATGACCCAGCAAAGTGTTTGGAAAAGTGAATAAAGAATGCTTGACTTCAAACAGAAAGGATATATAAGAAATTTGGAGGGGAGATTTTTTTCTCCTTGAGAAGATACATGATTTTCCAATCTCTTGCAGTTCCTTCTGCAAATAATCTGTAGTTATTTTGCAAGCCATATGCCTTATTGTTACAACCTACCGAGAGACATGAATTTCATAATGCTGAACAAGTAGGCACTCCAAACTTACCAAGTACAGAACGGGTAGATGACTTCATAGCTCAGTTTCCTCATTGGTAAGATGGAGAAAAGAATAATTCCTCAAGTCATACGTATGCTCTGAGCGTTGGCTTAATCCCATGTTTTAAGTGGTCACATGGAACAACAATGAGCACCACAGTGAAGGCTACATTAAAATAAAACTCCAAAATTGACGGGCAAGGGAAAGCATAACTGTATTGCTACCATAGTAAAAGGGAATTTCCTATTCTGAATCTTGAATGAAGAAACTCACCTATAGCTACAACATTTATATGTTTACTGATTCATGTTAGGCTGAATAAAAAGGTAACATTTTACAGAGAAAATTACATTTCCCTGAACTTTAGCTACATTTTTGGGGCTGACAGTTTGACCTATATGACTCACAGATCACGCTAGTAGGAAATTAGGACGTCAACGCTTGTTTCCTGTTTGCAGATGGACATTGTTCTCTATCCTATACTAAGCTAGGAATAGTGCAGAAAAATGAAAATTACTGTTTTCCTGGACTCAAATAGTAACATTTCACCCATAATTTGTTATTACAAATGCTACGTGTAATAGTAGCATGGTAGTAAAGCACTGTTGTAATGACTCTTCCAAGTAAAGAGAAGTCAGTCCTTGAATGAAGCCTGTGTAAAAGCCTGGGTGTAACATTTTAATTGAAAGTTAAAATGATGCAGATTGTCTGGCATATGGTGCTTCTTTCTGGGGATCAGTACTTAATCTCAAACTAAGACTTACAAAGGCTACCAGGGTTACTATTTCAAGGCTCAGCCAGCGAATTGCCTATGGAATGTTTCATAAGAACTGACACATGCTCTGGTTGTGTCACAGGATGGTTCATTTCTTTCTCCATTAAAGTCCCCAGTTCTCAGTTTGTGGAAAGTATTTTTTTCCACCTTTATTGCTGTGCAGCATTGAGCATCTAACGCAGTCCATTACGGTTGTGCCCTTATTTCAGAAGTAGATGAAGTATTTATAAATACTATTGCAGTATTTATAATATACTTTGCATTATAACTCTTTTATAAGGAAGTTCAGTGGACTGTTCACAAACTTGACGTTTTCAAGTATATAGATTCTCTTATAGATCTAGTCCACTCTTTAAAGTCATAGCTAACATTTTCAGATATGCCAGATCACTGTGATGCTGATTTTAATAACTGAACACAGTGTGAGGTTACTTCTAGTAGTTAACAGGCAGGTTTCTGGATCCCACGAGTAAAATAAAAGCTCAATATTCAGCAGTCAGTGTAATTTTTGAACAATGTTCTATTTTGTATATACAAAAGTCCACTGACACCATTCTACCTACTTAAAAATCACGTAGTCATCAGACATCAGATTTGGTTAATAACAGCATGACTAAAATTAGCATGTTACATGCAATTTATTTTAAGACCCATCACACGTAACTACATTAAAACCCAGTGAAATGTAATTGCTTGAAGACCCAAGCTTTATAAAGCATCCTACTAAATTTGCAGTTTCTCTAGAATTACACAAAGTGCACCAACACACAACAACATCATTATTTAGGAGAATAAACCTAGACTTAAAGTGCAGTTTTACTCTGAAAAGTGACCACATCAATAGGGTGCTTTCTTATTAGAAAGATGTGCTCTGAAGTTATTCAGAAGCACACTGGTTGACTTGAGTGCTGAAAATAAATCTTTCTTGCCCTCTATTCTTGTCAGTCATAAAGACAGACAGCAAGCAAGAGAGAAAAGTGGATCTCATGCTTTCCTGCACACCATCAATAATGTAGTTATCTTCAATTATGGCAGTTTGATTGCTAAGGTGCTGCAGGGGGCATAATTTACCTTTCAGTACCTTTATTACTATTGATGATAAACAAACCCAGCCTCATTATCAAAGGACAGTGCAAGCTTGCCTCAACTCTAGGGGACAAATGGCAGACTGAGCACATTTAATGCAGGAATCATCAAGAAAAACAAAACAAAATAATCCTTGATGGTATTTTCTGTCACAGTGCTGTTACAGGTGCACTTCTAAGTTGTGAGCTTACACCAGTCTCCCTGCTAATTCTCTGTAGATAGCCATCTCTACAGGCCAGAGCTAGAACACATATGTTCTAGTGTATGGTAATTGTGCAGAATTTCATGTGGGGCTCCAGGTCTGCGTGCCCACTGCTAGCTTCACTAGGGGTTACAGGTTTTCCCAATAGTGTCTTGGCTCCCCTTCTGGGTTTTATGAGAGCCTCACAGGACCCAGGACTGCCTGTGATGTTCTGTGTTTTGCTTCTGGCTTCCACATTCCCACTAAGCTCCTAGAGATGCCTAGACTGCTCCCTCAGTTCTTTGAGGATCCTCTGCCCAGGGGAAGAGGACTACAGGTTGTCACAGTTATGTTCGTAGAACATGTCCCTGGTTCTAGGTTTCCTGCCCCAAGAATCTCCCATTCTATTGGATTTGGTGATCTGAAAAATGTGAACAGTCATCTTGTAGAGATTGTATGAAAAAGCTGTTGACCCATTAGGAAGCATCTTGGAAACCTTTTATAAGACACATAATCAAAACACAAAAGGGATGACAGCAAATAAAGGGAGTTAGAATTCTATGACCATGACATTCACAGTGCTTCTCTAGTTTATATTCACATAATACAGACAATATACCAATAGATTCAAAACCAGATTTCCAGCAATAAAAAACCATTTCATTTATTCACAGTCTTAATATTCTACCATTTCTTTTCAACTCCAGTTACAGAAATTCTGGCTATATACATTTGGCTCAAAAGTGAAAGCTCATTTATTACTTGAAATAAATGGAGAATGTCTGAGAATCAGTGCAATGACACTATTGCTAATTTCTAGCCATTAAATCAATGGCCACAAACCAATTTCTCAAGTAGGTCTGTCCATCCATGAGAACATTGCTGAGCTTAAAGTACAGCTTTGGAAACATGAATGAAGTAAAGCACAAGGCATTTCTGGGAGCAAATTGCACAACAGCAGACAAACAGGCTGTGTATCTGAAAGGCAGGCAGCTCAAAGCATAGTATATCTAGCACCACTTCAGCCAGGAGTAACTTTTCTCCTTCCAGCATTGAGCTGAATAGTTTCTTTGAGGTGTACATGTTGGCAATGTCTTAAAAAATTAAACAGATTTCCTGACAGTAAGTAGTACATTTTGAAATAAAAACGGCTTTGTCTGTTAAGACAGGGGAAGTTGTTAAGAATTAGACTCAGAGTGGTCTGAGTTAAAACCAATCAAAACATTCTCCTTTGGTTTGTTTGTTAATCTGTAATTGTGAATTCTTGTATTTAGTTCACTGCACTGTGACATGTTATATGTGAAAATCTGACTGGATTTAAAAAAGATTGCGTAGGTCCAATTATTGAGTGCACCAAACCTCAACAGCAACTACATATATACTAAAGCCACAGAATTAGCCTGCTCTTTACTTTTAAAAAAACAACCAAAAAACCTAACCCTTAAAAGACATACTTTCCTGTACCAAACTGTAGCTTTTTTTTCACAGCAGAAAGTTGTATAGTGCCTATTAGTTGTTAGTTCTTGGAAACCCTTGTATTCTTCTGTAAGGGAGCCAAGACAACCCCAGCATTCTTGTCTTCACTTTCTGGACTATACAGGTTATGCTTTTCTATGTATGCTTGAACTGCATCAGGCACTAGGTAACGAATGCTCTGGCCCCTCCGCAGTGCTCTCCTAATCTTGGTGGAGGAAATGTCATTTGTGATCCATTCTTCTACAAGATGAATGTTATTCTTATGTCTCCACAAAATATCAGACTCGTAGATGAACTTCTGAACATTGCTTCCAGCTCTACTGATGCATACCAGGCCATGATTTTCCACAATTTCAGTGATGTCCTCCAACTTCCACAGATTGGGGATCCCGAAAGACTCCAGCATGTCACTTCCACAAAGCAGTTTAAGCTGTGGGGCACCTTAAAGAGAAAAATAAGTGAGAAATGGGGCTTTGTTTAGGCCACCAGATTTTAGCTAACATGATGGGGACATTTAATTTCTAGGCTACCTTTAATCTTTGGTTAATATGAGAGAATGGAATGAAATAAAAAGACTCCTGAGTATATAACGAGTAGCCTTAATACAGGATTTTTCTAGGGGAAAAAAAGTTATGGGAGTCCCTTCATCCAAAAGGACTGGAAAATAGCCTCTGAAAGTGCTATACATTTTACTGTTAAAGTTGTCTTCTTACAAAGCTTCCTGCTTTATGTTGTAGGATCAAAGAGAAATCAGAACCAACAACTAGCATTAAAAAAAGCTACTCATCAGCACAACTCCCTTGAAATAGCAAGTATTGTTAAGCATTTAATTTCCAAACAGACTTAACTTTTTATATCTGGACTCTGATTTTTCTTTTTAATGGGCTCATGCCTATTTGGTTCTTGCTTCCTCTTCCGTCCTGCCTTTGTTACAGGTATAGCATTCTGCAGGCTATTTGTGGGATCAGGAGATAAAAGCTTCTGTTGATGGTACCTGCAAAACAGATGTATTTTAGGTATTTTAAAGATGCAGGAGAATAAAGGCAAGAGTATGATCTACTCAATGATCTATCACTGCTTCCTCCTGCAGAACTTTCACATCCAAGAACCTATCTACTGAAACAGGGACTTGTGAGAACTGGATCATAAGATGGTCAAAGTGGAAAGATTTCAAAGCAACAACTGCAAGGTTGGTTATTTCCTTTTTTAATAACAGTTCATTTTCAAAAAAACCTCAGTGACTGAAAGAGTAAAAAACTTCCAACTCAAAAAAGATATTCCTTCAGTTCTCATGCCAGCCCTGAAATACAGAAATGGGCAGCAGAGCACAATCAGAATCAAACGAGGGAAGCTTGCATAGCATGTGTCTACCCCATTCTAGTCTTTTATCCTTCCTTGTGAATACCTTTTCAGCAGAAAAACTGATTTAAGCCGAAGAAACAATGTATCTTAAAATACTATGACAGGTTCATTTTCTGTATGTTTAGGGCTAATGGTGTAATCTTTCATTTACAATGGTCATATAAATAGTACTTCTGAATTTCCTGAGTCTATTCATATGATTTGGGCTTAGCCTGCTATTATTCTAACTTAAAGCTAACACCATTGCTTTTCCTTCTATAGGTTCTTGAGACTTTTTAGGGTTTGGCTGAAGAATACCTTAAAACTTTTAGTGTTTCCAGCCACTCACTCTGGCTGCTTTCCCAATCATCAACTTCCACCCAATCCGAGTTTTTTGTAGCTAGTTTTGCCATAGCTACTCGGTGATCTGCACTGATCAGACCTTTCTTCTTATACGCATCACCGACTGGTGAGATTATTCCTTTGATGACTTTGTATTTTCCTGTGGAAAAAACACATAACATTAGAACATGAAAAGTGGTTGAGCAGATGTTACTTCCACTGTATTGTATGTAAACTATTACTCCCTGCAACCTCTAAAAAACACCAGGGCCAGCTCTGAGAGTTAGTCCAGTGGAAAAGTACAATACACTTCTGCCAGTGTTCAAGGCAGCACAATTAAATATATAGTAAAATATATTAGAAGGATATATTTTAATAAAGAAAAAACTATAAAATTCATTAAATTAATAAGCAACAGATCTATAAGGCTGTCTCATGTATTTGGCCTACATGATTTTGTATGATACATACACACATACTAGCTTCAATATCTAATTGTTTCCAAAAATAGTTACTACAGCTGTTCTGAATGCTAAATTACCATCCTACCTGTTTCATGGAAGTAGTCTTTAGCCAGCTCAAATAGCCGTAGGTGCATGTTGGTAATGGGGTTGAAGGACCCGCAGGCCAGCAGTACTACTTCAGACTTCTTCTCTGGGTCTCCCATAGCTATTTCTCACAGCTGCAGAGTCAAGTGGGGAATGCTAGTGCTAGTTTCCAGCCGCTACGAGAAGAGATGGGATTTTAAAAAGTTATTTGTACTTATTTGTGCTGCCAATAAGCATAAGAGTTCAAGATCAGATTGAACACTGTCTTTTCCTTCCATCAACATTTGGCCTGTGATTGTTTGTGTGATACTGCATGATCCAGTTTTTGAGACTAAAACCATGGCTTCTAGTTCTCTCTGGTTATCCCAGGATAGAGCTACAAAGCAAGGAGCTGAGATAACAGTGGCACTGTGTTGCTGAAAGGAGGATAATTCTTCTGCGGGACTTTAGAAATCAAGAATGTAGAGGAAAGTGAGTGTGCTAGGAAGAAGACGTGTGTACTTGTAGCTGCAATTCCCTCCTATATGCAAAAGGAAACATCTTAAAACTGAAATTACTGAAAACAGGCTGCTTGCCTAAAGAGAGGACAGCAGAAGAGCAGCTCATGCACAAAACCTTCATGAGTAGAAATAATTTGTCCTGATTGCAGGCCAAACTTGATTAGAACTTTGCTGGTTATTTACGATGCCAATGCCAATCAACTTCATTACTTCTAGTGCTTAGGGGGAAGAGGAGGGGGAAGAACAACCTGTCACAGTTCCCAGGGCTTCTATTCTAAACTGCAGTGAGTCTTTCCAGCAAAATCTGTAAATGTAACATTAAATTGCAGAGGAGAGGAGGGTTAGCATGTCTTCATTTGGGATTCATTTAGATATTACATGTTCATGGTATGTAGGGAGAGAGTGCTCTGGCCTAAACATGGAAACATCCAATCTACTTTGTGTTCCAGGAAGTAAGTGGCAGGTGTACCAGTGGAACAGATGATAAAAACCACTGAATTTTAAGAAGTTTAGTAAAAGCTGCAGTTAAATACCAACTTTTCTTTCCTGTTTTTTAACTACAACAGCACTGATCCAATTTTGAACTTTGCCTTCAAAAAGCTGCTTAAGAATTGGTGAAAATAAGAAAATTTCACTACTTTTCCATTTCTCCTCACACAACATGGATTTTTGCTTCTCGGTGTTCTTTCATGAGTATATTCTGGCTTGTCCAGAGAGCTTCCCTTAGCTTGGCCCTGAACAAATGAAAACTGGAATATATTACAGGCCATCCTCCTGCTGTGTCTGTGAGATGTCCAAGACGTCTGTGTTGTGCAGGAATAGTCTCCTGTTGTTTCTAAAGCAACACCACAGCCTGGAAAAATCCCACAAGGTCACCCTCACATTCTGTATCCTTTACAAAGAGACTGAGTGATGTTCACAGCCACCACACCGCTAAGATATCATCACAGCTAACCTTGTACCAGCTACTATGAACCAACATCAAACAGCCCTTGCATGAAAGAGTCGTTCAAGGCTTCATGTTTTGCAGGTGTTAGTACTTTTCTGGGCTTTCAAGTTTTACAGACTTTAGAAATATTCTTTATTACTGCAGAGTAGTTTGGAATTTGAAGTGTTGGCGTTCCTTGGAGTGCAGCCTTCGTGGGGCATGGGCTAGGAGTGTTACTATGGGAACAGACAGGGAAAGGAGTTAGCCTTGCTTTGTCTAAAGCCCCACTTTCTAAAGAAAGTCACTCATGCTGCAAATCTGAAGAGGGTTGGTTTTTTTCCTTAAAAAAGTAAGGGCAAAAAGAGTAGAAAATTTAAGCTGGAAATCGGTAGTGCCTTTTCTGGCATCAGCCAGGTGTCCGTTTTGATGCTGCTACAGATTCTTCAGAAACAGGCAATTATCGTATCATGAACTCACCTCGTAGAGCTTCGTATCTACATAGAAGAGTATGAGTTAGTAGCTTGCCCACAGCCTCCAGTCTCCCCATTCACAGTGACCTCCTCTGTTCAGCACTTGTTTCACAGTATCATCCTCATAACCAATACAGCTCCATCAGAGCTGCGATCTGCTTTCTGCGGAATAACCTTCATGTAGCTCTAACTTTTGGGGAAAAGCTATGCAATTTGCACATTCCCTGGGAGAAAAGGACAACGTTCCAGTGGTGACTGAGTCCCAGCCACTGCCTGAAGCTATGACTCTTCTTATTGTATAGTAACACGAGTAGTTTTGATGAATTAAGTGTAATTTGGCACTGCCTGACACAAATCTAATTATCAGTTTGACTACAAGATTCAAACTAGCAGTCCAGTTTCTGCTATACAGAGATCTGTATAGGCATTTAGTGCCACAGCTGAGAACAGTCTTATCTTATGCCACATACTAAATGAAAGTGGTCTTTGCTGATTGTCCATGCATGTGGGGCATCCCGGGTCATTTTCCCTTCTTCAGAAGGAAAAACGAGGTGCCCTGTGATGCACCTTTACATATGTGCTTATATACTATCTCATCATGCTTATCTGTGTACCACTTGCAGTCCTACTGGTGCTTAGCTAGGCTGGACAACTATTTGCCCTAAAACCCATCCAAGTAAACCATCCAGCAGTAGGTTTGGGGATAGTTCAGAACCCCAGCCTGCTGGCTTTTGAGGATAAGCAGCCAATTATAAGCCTGCTTTGGACAATCTCCTTGATATTTCGGAGGTAAATCGTTATTTAACATGCTTATATGGCTGTAGAATTTAAGCACGTTGACTTAGCAGCACGCAGGCTGCTGCTGGAAGCTCTCCACGCCAACCACTCCCGCTTTCCGTCCGTTCCGGTAACCTCCTCCCCACAGCTCCGCGCCGCCAGCGGCTTACACGCGGTACTGCCCCGACCCCGCCGCCGTCCCCGCTGTCCCCGCTTACCGCCCGCGGCCGCGCCGGCAGCTCCGCGGAGAGGGGCCGCACCGGGCGGTGCGGTAGCGGCGCGCTCCGATTGGCTCGAGTGCGACAGAGGCGCGTTCCGATTGGCTCGAGTGCGACGGCGGCGCGTTCCGATTGGCCCCGCCGCTCCGGAAGCGGCGCTTGTCAGACGCGGCCCGCTCCGCCGGGGTTTGCGTTGAGCCCGTGCTGTCGGTCCCGCCTGCCGCGGCCTGCCCCAGGTGAGGCGCGGTGGGCCCGGGGGTGGTTAGGGGTTCTGTGGCTTCGACGTGGCCGGTGGCGGCCTCCTTCCTGGGCCCGTGGCTCTGACCGCAGGAGCGAGTCCGGCGCGGACTCGTCCCCGCGACTGCCAGGCGCGAAAGAGGAAGAGCCGGGCGGGAGCGTGGCCTTGAGGGTAGGCGGGCAGGGATCGGGTAGCGCGTCTATTCCTGCTTCTCGGTCCTACACCCCCAGCCCTGTCCGCTCCCCTCTTGTGTGGCTAGAGGCGCCGCTGGCCTTGGTGGAGACCCTCAGAACTCGCTGGACCAAGGACCACGACAGGTGTCCCGTGGGGACTGCTCCTGTTTGATACCCAAAGAAACATAGAAACATAGATCTTATCTAGAGCGCTCCATTTTTCCACAGCCTGTGATTCAAAGGTGTTTGCCCTTTTCAGACACCTGCATCTGGGTTGTTGTCTCTTAAACAGTTTCCCAAGGGGCTGCTGAACAGTAAAATCTGTTGTTCATAGAGTGGGGCCTCTGCATTTCAGTAAGTGATGCTTGGTTTGAAACAGGTTTGGTTTTATGCACTGTGGTTATTTGACTCTTACTACTGAGATAACAGACCCGTAGACCCAGCCTAACACCCTTGTATTTCCACTGCAAGAATCTTCTAAGTGTATTGATTAGACATTCCATCAAAATAAGGTTTGAGTTGTTGGTACACAACAATAGAATGTTCTTTCTCCTAGGAGTGTCATGTAACAGCTTGGAATTTTCACCTGAAAACAGAAGATGGCTTCAAGAGGAGCAACAGAGACGAGTAAGCTCAAACAGAACTTGGAAGAGCAGTTGGATAGGTTAATGCAGCAGCTTCAAGATCTGGAGGAATGTAGGTAAGAAAACCAGATTCTTTCCTCTTACGTGGTAATATTTCTCTTTATGTGGTTGGCAGCAGAAATTGGTACCTTTCAAAACTTGTGGGGTTTTATTTTATTTTCTGTTTTGCTGTGGCTTTATATTTTTAAAATGAGGTAAACATTTAAAAATGTTTGTGTTGGGTAGTAAAAATAAATTTAAAGCCCCTTTTTTATTACTAAGATTATTCTGTTTAACATCTTCTTGAGGGAAGTGCGGGCGGAAATGCTCGTTACTGTTTTCATTGGGATTCAGTGTGACGTTTTAACTTATAATAGGTGTTCACAGAATTTAGTTTTCATATGGGCTTTTTTAATAGCAGTTAATAAATAGCTCTTGTGTCTTTTTTATTTTTTTTTTAATCTTATAATTATGGGTGCTCCAATCTGGGTTTGTGTGGGTTTTTTGGTCTAACATTTTCATGTGATTTGTGTCCAAGCAGTACCTGTTTTTTCCATGATAATTATAACTGCTAAGGGTTGGTAGTGCCGTTCTTTTGGGCAAGGTTTAGACAGAAGGATCTCTTATTCCTGAATAACTTGATGGGCTTGGGTTGAGGAGGTGCATTCACTATAGCTTTGAGCAAGACAGACTCACTGCGTATTTTTGTTGAGATCCAAAAAACCCTTTTAAATACTGCACCAAGCGTTGAGCATCTTGTAGTTCTCAATGACTTCATGCAAACAATACATGTGCATGGGTGGCTGGGAGGTGGTGGACAACCAAGAAAACTACATATGCATTAGCTAAATAATACCTAAGAGGGCTGGAGCAGGATGATCTGAAGTGATGTAAATGTTTTCATTGTTGTCTGAGGAAGCAAGCTCCATGGTATTCCCTGCTGTCCTTTTCTCCACGTTACATCTCGGGTTTAATCCTATGAATAAATGTGCCTTGTTGGATCCTCTTTAGAGAGGAGCTGGATGCAGATGAGTATGAAGAGACCAAAAAAGAAACTTTGGAACAGCTGAGTGAGATCAATGACTCCCTGAAGAAGATTATGTCTGGAGATATGACTTTGGTGGATGAGCTCAGTGGGATGCAACTGGTAAGGATGATGTCTTCCATCTTCTGCCTGGACTCAGTGAAACACAATATAGATGCAAGTTCATTATAATTACTAGAGAGGCACATGTGAGAATTAGATCTAGGTATCTAATGTTTTTGTTATTTAATATATGTGTACATATTAAAACTTTGAAAGGTCTCTTCATTTTAAAAAGAAAAAAATGTAGAATTATAACCATAACACTATAGAAAAAAATGTGAAATGGCAGGAACTAAATATATCCAACCCTTAATATTAGAAAATAACATAAAATAGTACAAATTAATATTAAAGGTGTGAGGGACAACCCAGGACAAATTACATCATGAGAAACAAAGTTCATGCCTGCTTGTTAGAAAGCATAGAGACAGCATTACCTGTGCTTTTACTGCTGATTTGTTTCAGATCTGCACCAGTCCAAATGTAAAGGCTGTAGGAGTGACTCTGTGACTTTAATTTTTTTTTCAGTGAATTGATTTTCTTTTATGTGACTTTCCAAACTTTTGATCTATTTTCTCTCCTTTGGAATGTTTAATTAGAACACTATTTGTTCCTTCTGAGCCCTGTGTTTTAGGGTTTTGTTTCCAGAGAGATCATGATTTGTCCAAACATAACTCTCTGCAGAGGGTTTTGAGTCACAGTGGGAGATTTGCCTCATCATTTACATTCTGCTTACCCTTAGAAGAGCTGTAATCATCAGTGTGAGCATTAAAACTGCTAAAGATAGCGTAGCACATCCTCTTATGATGTGCTAATATCAGGAAGATGTTTGAAATGATTAGAAATTAGAACCTGGTCTGTAATGAAAAGTTTCACAGCTCCTTCTCAGTATAGTTGCACTAATTAGTGCATTTTTCAAGCCCTGCATAAAGGTCACATATTTATTTTTCATCTCATTTCCATGATTATGAAAAAGAAGAACTCTCTGTGTTGAATGTTGCAGAGGATACTAATGATGCTTTCCTGTCATCATCATGCAACTGTAGCTTGTGACTTATTAGTACTGATCAGTCTTGCTCTTTCCCTTGCAGGCTATACAGGCAGCCATCAGCCAAGCATTTAAAACTCCAGAAGTAATTAGAATGTTTGCAAAGAAGCAACCAAGGCAATTGAGGACAAGGTTGGCAGAGGTGAATGTTTCTGCTTTACTGTTTCTTTGAGCTAGACTAACTGATTTAAATATATACTGATTGCATGAAGAGCACCAAGTGTGTTAGAAAACTTGGTCACAGCATCAGAAGAGAGCTTCTCTTTCAGAATGTATTCAGTTTTAAATATTTATTGAGGTAACAGGGACAACAATGTGGGTACCATGCATACTGATGACCTTACAGGCTGGTGCATTTCTCATGCTGTTGCCTTGAGTGGAACAGGGGGATGCTCATGTAATTTGACTTATTTCCTTGCCCTGGTATACAGATGGACAGGGATTTAATGGTTGGAAAGTTGGGACGAGACCTGTACACACAGCAGAAAGTGGAAATCCTGACTGCTCTCAGAAAGCTTGGTGAGAAGGTAAGCTTGTGGTAGAGTTAGGTGAATAGAGATGTCTAGATATATGTTGAAGAGGAATTTGAAATCATTAAAATAAGAAATCATGAGTTCTGTTCATGAGCAAATGAAAAAATGCAGTTTCTGTGGTATATAAATCTTCCATTTTAATGCTAGGCTTTCTGAAGCACTCACTGCTGAACAGGTATCACAGAGTACTGTACATTTATATAAGGCTGTTTGTACTTAAAAATGCTTTCTTTGGTGGGTCATATGAGTGAACCACATGGAAGCTGGTACATGTTGATGGTATTCATAAAAGACAAAACAAGTGTTTTACTGACTAACTGCCACCTATCCACCTGGCAGGCACTATATGAGACTTTTGACATACATTGAGCTTAATTTTGCGTTGGTGTAAGGTAAATAAATTGGAAAGGTGAGTGATGAACTGACTGCTTCCCCAATGAGTACCTCGGTGGCAGAACAATCCCTGGTTGTTACCACTAGAGGGGGGAAGAGTTGTTACTTGGTTTTGTTGCTGGTATGTGAGGAAAACAGGTTGCTGTACATGTCCGTACTTAAAACTTTTGTAGGAAATGAGGGAATGTAATGGAAAAGATCAAGTGCAGTATGTAAAGGAGCTGTATTCCAAGTAGGTGATACTAGCAAATAGGTTAAAAGGCTAGTTAAGATTGTGAACTGAATGTGTGAAGATACCTAATCCTCTTGGTATGGGTTTCTTGGATTGCTTCAGATAAGCCACTTCACCATGCTTTGACACAACCTCTGTATCTTTTGAAACTATCAGTAACCTACTTCACAGAGGACTTGCTAGGATAGGGGTTCCATATCTGTTTGTATGTGACAAATGATGGTAAATGTGACATGTTTGTCTGCACAAGCCTGGAAAATGTTAAGTAGTTTGAAGCTTGCTTTCAAAGCCCAGCAGAGGCAGGGAGCTGGTGCTTTTCTCTTCATTCCAACATCGTTCTGAATGCCTGTACCTGATTTCTATATTTTTCCTAAACAAACTGACATACATACGCTTGTGAACAGGTTGACACACTTGTCCTTTGCTTGAATAAGGATATATCTCTGACACTACTTAAAACTCCTTCATTTAACTTAGAATATCTGAACCTGCCAAATGTAGGTTACTACTTCATTACTGTAAATATTTTATGGGCATCTTGTCACGAGGCATTGAGCACATACATAAAAGCAAAATATGCATGTGCAAATGTCACTTGAAAGGAAGAGAACCATTTCTAGGTCATGGACTCTTAACACGGTCAAAGCTGGTGGTGGCTGCAGTTTGGCTTTCCTCAGTACATGGTATGAAGTGAGCTTAGATCTTAGCTCATTCCTGTATTGACCACATGACACAAAAGTAATTGACATCCTTTGGGTAGTTTTGGGGCAGAGTTTTAACAAAACTTTTAACCAAAAATTATTACTGGAGATCATCTCGAAACAGTGGAGCATGTAGAGGTGTGTCTGGTGTTGCATATGCTCTCCTTCCTGTGCTGACAGGCACCATAGAGAAGACGTTCAGTGGTAGGGGAAGTAGTTTATATTTTTTACTTTGGCTTTTAATATGTTTGATAACACTGTCATTTAAAAACCTGCCAACTGACAATTGCTCTAACCTGTGGTAGTTCATGTATATGAATCATGTAGATGGTGGGATTTGCAGCGGTGGGAATATGCACAGTTAAGGTACCAAGTTCACAGCTGTGGCCTTTTTTGATTTAGCTCACTCCAGATGACGAGACATTCTTGTCAGCAAATGCTGGTGCAGCCCTGAGCCAGTTTGAGAAAGTCTCCACTGACCTTGGTAAGTTTTTATTCCCACAGCTCCCATTTCTTTGCCTCATCAAACACTGATTAATAGCAATACCTGTGATTCCCCAATGAAAGAGAAAACATGAACAGAAGATCATGCCAATAAATTTTGATGTCCATTTTTGTTTTATTAACTATGAAACTCTGATACACTATCCCTGCAGAAAAGGTAATGCAGCAAATAAATCCAGTGCCAAATGTCCATAAAATGCTAGGTGCTGCCTGTAATGCTGAAGGCGTGAATGGTCTGTCTCGAGCAGAGATGCTCTCTTACACAGATCTTTGTTGCCTTAATGACTTCAGGAAAGCATTTTCCTTTGCTTGATGAAGAGAAATCAGCAAGATGACTAGAATTACAGGCACATTTTCAGAATAGAGTTTTACTCCTCTTGCCATGATTGTCATAACTCTAATCATACTGACGAGACTGAAAATTCAGTTGTTATATGCACTAAGTAAGCACAATTCATTCTAGCATTGCAGTTAGAACAGTGATGAAAGAATGATGAATGACAGGAAAGTGCCACACTAGGTCAGGGTACAAAATCACTGTCTTTGTGACCTACCTTTAAGTACTTCTCTTCCTGACAGCCTAAAGCAAGGTGAGAACCCTTTTGTTCAAAAGGGTGCTTTGTTAGAAGCGCTCTGTGTGGTGGGCTCACCTTGGCTGTTCACCAAGCTGCATTCTGATTCCCCCTTTTCAGCAGGACGGGGAGAAACCAGGAATAAAACCTTATGGGTTAATGTAAATGCAGGATAGTGAAGAAAAGCAAAGACTGTGCACAGAAGCAAAGGAAAATCAAAAGATTTATTCTCTTTGCCATCCCCAGCCTATTGGCTTTTGGGGGTGAGACTGCCTTAGTGCTGTGCCAGCACTGCTCAGCAGTAGCCAAAGCATCAGTGGGGTTATCAGCCCCACTGATGGTTAACTCCATCCCAGTTAACCATTAATTTAATGTGTCTGGTTTTAGGCCTGTCAAGCCACCATGTCTCTCTCTATTTTAAATTAGTTCAGGTGTTCTGCTTTTCAAAATACAGGTTTGATTTCTTTTGATCTCGCATATTTTGCTTAATAGAAATCGTGAATTTCCTTATATACAATTTCAACTAATACTACTGAAAATGTTTTTCCCCCTTTCATAGGATCAGGAGACAAAGTCTTTGCTCTAGCAAGTTTTGAAGTAGAAAAGGCGAAACAATGAAGAGGTGCGTGAGGCTTGTGTCTCTCCAGTTATCATCAGCATTGGACTTCTGTCATATTGCATTTGGTTTTTCTATTTCTAACATGTTGAAAAGAAAAGCAAAACAAAACCCCAGACCCTAAACCTCCTCTTGGGTTCTTAACTAGAAGATATGAAGTAAACAGCCTTAAGTGCACTTTGGAACTCTGGTGTCTGTACCCCATACTTGTACAAGTTCTGAGGCTGAACACTTAGTGGTACTCCGGAAACAAAAGCATGGTATGACTGTCTTTGGGAAGAATCAGCTCTTGTGACCTTCTCTGAATGTGTATTTCTCTAACTATTAAAACATAATCTTTTTTGCATGTGGTTGTAGCAAGCAGATGTTTTTCAGGAGCAGTCCTAATGAGTAAGTGGTTTTTGGGGTGATTCTTCACATTGCTCTCAAACTGTCTTAATTTTTGCCCAGACTCACTACTAAGTAGTTCGTACTGGGAATGCATTGAAGCTTGGAAAAATTGACATAGTTTATTTGAAATGCCATCTTTCTACAAACTGTTTGCAGAAGAACCAAAATGAGACTGTATGCTGATGGTGAGCCCTGAGCTGCTTGTTTGCTGTGCACATGAATGAGCTCCATTGTGTCCTAGCCTTGACTGACACACAATGGGAGCCCTGTAGGGAGTCTTCTGGAGTAATTTAACCTTGTGTATTGAAATGACAGGGAATTGCTTGGAAATGGCAATGAGAAGCCTTTTCTATGACCTCTTACTTCAGCTCCGGGTGGAGAACTACATGCTACTGTTATTTCCCAGTATTTTTGAGATAGCATGAAATAGCTTGCAATAGAAACAAGATTAAAAGGTGATGGGGGGGACTCTCATTATGTGATTGGTACAAGTTTGCTCAGTGTGTTTATCAGGGGGCAGTGCTCTGGAGAGGGGAATGTGCCTCCACAGAGCAATTAGAATCCTAAGTCTCAATATGTAGGAGGATTTTCAATCTACTCTTGTTGAATCTTTAACTCTTGAGTGTGGAGAAGCTACCTGGCACTCTAAATGTGTGGTTTAACTTCCTGCTAAACTATGTTTTGTGAATCGATGTTGGGAATCTTTTTCTTGAAGTACTGTTTGCTTCACACTTTAATTTAGTACTTAGCATTTGGTTTGAGGTTTTATTTCATTGGGATTATCAGCTTGAGAAACATGCATTTCAGATCTCCCTTGGTATATATTCAGGCACTGATCTGATGATCCTGGCAACCAAAAGAAAAGAAAGAAGATGGCTTAATTGCATTTCATACCTATTACCCTTACTTACCACTAGGTAAAGTACACAGCTTTTAGCTGTAAATAAATGGGGGGAAAATGCAAAAGTAACTTCATGCAAATAAAAGCAATTTTCCTCTATTTCTGTGCAAAAGGAATTCAAACACTAGACAGTTTTGGGTCCTTTGGGCTGGATGTTTGCACTTCCTTTCTCTGGAGAGCTTCACAAGTGGAGGGAACATTATGAAATGTCATTGGCAAAAGGAGATTTGGCTGTGCTTGTGTTGATGTGCTATTGTTATCTGGCACCCCTCAGAGAAAATGGGACTTGCCAGGCACAGGTACAGCCAGTTCCCCTTCCCATAAGGTGGAGCAGAAATGTGTTGAGATGAAAAAGCTGCCATTTTGCTGCTTAATTTGTTCTTTCTAAATGGTAAATTTATTTTTCCTTAAATAAGCACAAAGTGCAATAACCAAATGCCACAGTGATTTGTGCTGATTCTTCAACATGTAAAACTGACGCTGAAAAGAGTTTAAAGAGATCTCTACCTATATCACTAAGGTGAATGGTGTATCTTCAGGGCAAACAGATTTTGTGCTGGTTTGAGTGATTTTGGGGTATTTTGGGTATTTTACTGGCAATGTGTCTTAAATCTTAGGCATTTCTGAACTGAGCTGTAAAATGTGCTAGCTGCCATCACAGTAAGTCTGTTCCTGGAAAGAAAAGGATGGTGATAATACTGTAAAGATCAGAATTCCTAGAGGAAAAAAGTGATCTTCTTCCCATCTTGTTAGTGCTTTGAATGATAAGAAATACGTGTACTAAATGGATGATACTGAATTATTTTTTAATTAGTAATGGTTTATAAACTGACTTCTAAACCCAAAGTTTGGGTAGATTCAGTTCCAGTTTATGGTGGCACGGCTCTTGGCAATGCTGGAGTTGGATTTGCATTTGTCAGCAGTGAAGGTGACCCACTGTTTTGAGGAATCCTGTGTTTAATGGGGTAGAACATCCATGTTTCACCTATCATATATATATATTTAACTCTTACAGCTAGACTTGAGCTTCAGTGAGAACTGCTTCAAATTAAGTGGAAATAGTCTTAAATGTGGATAGATTATTGCAGTGTTAATCTGTGTCATACAGGAGTCACTTAGAGACTAAGTGAGTAGCATAGACTAAAACCAGAAAATTAACAGGATCAGTCATAACTTAGATTGCACTATGGGGCATAAACACCCAGTAAATAAGCAAGTTGGTCTACTTATAAACTAGGACTGGAGTGAACTAGAAAATGCGGGGTTTAGAATGCATTTCGCTTTAATAAAGATCTTGAAATCTAGTGTGTTAGAAATGAAAGGATACACAGTATAGACAACATAATTTGTCTGAACACTGATGGAACTTTTTCCTCATTTCTTTTTTAAGAAGCTTTTATTTAAATGGGGTCCTTTGTCCATTATATCAAAACTGTTTTGCTGTCTGGGGCAGCATTATGTTCTTTGACAAGGGCTGATTGCAGCTTTATAGCTGAGAGCAGCTTATTAAAAGGCATTATTAGACAGTCTAAAATTACTGAAAACAAAACAGTCCCTGGGGACTGTAGCTGCCTTCTTTTCCTTTCTGCTCATTACTGGTGCTAAGTAACTCTTCTCTCCCCACACCCCCCAGCTTGCTTGTGGCATTAGTATGTAAATGAAATCTCTCAGATCATCAGAATCTCTCCCACAGATCACAGTAAGTTTACAGTACAATGATATGGAAATCTTTTCCCTTGTAGTCTGAGAGGCGTACATTTCCAGGAGAAACTCTTTTTATTGATTTGCTAATATTTCAGGATTTTTGCATTTTCTGTACTGCAGGCGGTTGTAAAATTCCTATTAAATACATCTTTGACTGAATATCTTTGTAACGTTGTGCTCCTTCTGTTCTTTAAAAGATCTCTTGTGATTTAGATGGACAGAGATGAGATTGAGATCAATGACCAGTACTATTTCAAGATTCAGTATGGCAGGCCAGACTTCCCTTCTCAAAAGTTGTGAAGGGTCAGAAAGCTCCAGCCCAGAGCCTGGATGTGTCCTGCACAATGCCCTGACTGTGAAGGTAATTTAACAAGGAAGTTGTTGCCAATATGAAGCTATTCATGTGCTGACCTTAGCAAATAGTTACTTCAGTAACTCACTCGAAGTGGTTAGATTAATATCAGAAGCATTGTAAATAACTGGTGTGCTGTGCTAAATATTAGCCAAATAATCCTGGGATTTACCTCCACTAGGATCTCCAGTGCTTCTGGAGGGGCTGGGGAAAAAAGGTCCATAATTCCTTTACTATAATAATGATTTCTTCAAATAAAAACTGGTAACAAAAGAATAATTCCTTAATTCCTTTACTATAATAATGATTTCTTCAAATAAAAACTGGTAACAAAAGAATAATTCCTTAACGAAAGCATGATTTTGTCATTTAACGTAAAAGCTTGTGATGTTTGAGTTCCATCCCCACTTAGACCCAGGCAGATCACTTCCCTACACATCTTTCTCTCCTGGAGTAAAATAGAGATTACGATACTTGACTATCGAGTGCTATGAAGTTGTTATTGATCATGCATTGCTTTGAAGATTAAAAGTGCCTTGTTTTTTGTTTATCATTTTACTTCTGAAATAAGAACTGTAAAGTACAGTAGCTTTAAACATGTCAGCAAAGTTGCCCAGCGTTCTTCTCTGCCATATATAAGCTTCCTTTTTTTAATCTTCCTTCTCTATAGGGTGAATCCAATGATTGTACTGATCTAAAAGAAAATGTGTTAGAGAGAAAATTGAAGCTTCAGATGCTCTGTCTCTCTTCTTCTGTCTTTGTCTCCTTGTATTATTTCCCTGCTTTGATCTTGAATGGAAAGTAGCAAGTTATCTCTGTCTTAAAGGAAAAATACAAGATATCTTAAGAGATCCCTTAGTTCATCATGTTACCCTGCCTGTTAAAATCAAGTTCATTTTGATACAGAAGTCTCTACTAATGATTCCCTGCTGACCAGGCATTTAAGGCTGTATCATTAGTGGCTGAAATGGTAAGCAAATTAAAATAGAACCATTTGGTTTTGTTTCCAGTAGGGCCATTCACTTCCTATATAAGGACAAATAGAGTTTTTTGCATTGTAAAGAAAGCAAAGCCAGCCTGCAGGCATCTTTTAGTTTCACAACTTCCATCATTTTTAAATTATTGCTGGGTTCTGGAGAAGTCTTTTCTATTAGGGAAACAGACTCTTATTTCAATTGTGTCTTAGCTTAGCTACCCAAGAGAGAGGAACAGAAGTGCTCATAGTGGAATTTTTCTTTAGGAGTCATGGAAAATTTGACACCTTGTCTTGCTGTGAGGTTGTAGGGATTTTAACTTCAATGGGGTTTTGTGCCTGTGAGGGAGTGGGGAGAGTTGCTGGAGTTTATGTTGCCCAAGATTTCTCTCCCATAACTCTTAAGCATCTGACCTTCCTATCTCAGTCAAGTGGATGATGCCCTGATGTTCACAGCATCTGAAAAGGGGACCTAAAGTATCTGACACTATCTGACAGGATAAATAAGAACGTTTCAGCATAACTTGTCTCTAAAATAAGGTCTTTAAAGAGGAAATACAGACATAATGTTAAGGCATTGCGGTATCATGCACTGAAATAACTGCTGTAATTTAACACAGTAATGTGCTAATAATTATATACTTAATGGCACATTTATTTTTAAAACAAGCTCTAATCCTGGACATCTCTTTTTGTCTTGCTATCAGAATAGTGTCCTGCTTGATAATGTTTAGGATCATGTCTCAACATACCTCCAAAACTGGGTCAGTAATAATCGCAGATGTACTGGAAACCATCAGACAGAACCACCTGCAGATCCTGTGGACAGAAGTGCTAATGTCTGGGTAAATAGCTTTTCTTTTGATTGTCCAGTTAATATCCCTGTAAGGTGGAGATTGAAATGAAGTTCTGTAATGCTGTTGTAAAAGCTTGTGCTTTGCAACTTCATTAATACCAAATTTAATCTAGGAGCACTTCTGGTTTTGAATAAAATCTGCAGCTCAGAAGGTTTGTTACTGCATAACTAAGCTTGGATTAACAAAAAAGAGATTGTCATAGCCTTTTTTTTTACACTAAAGAGCTTTTTTGTCCGTCCCTCTAAAATATCTCTGCATACCTCCTCACTGCACAGTCTGTAGAAACACTAAATATCATAACTAAGGCAGCTTTACTGTTCTACTATGCTTTGTAATCTGTGCAAGTTGTGCTCACCAACAGTCATGGAAATTTCAGCTGGCTCTCTTAACCCTCCATCATTTATTGTAGTGCCAAGTATGCAAAGAGTCTGTTGGTTGAACTGAATTTAATTTTCAGGCAACGCTGTGCTGTTTTGGCATAAAAGCGTCATTTTGATAGATTGGAATTGTCAGGCTAAGTCTGAAACATAAAAGATTCCAAACTAGAACCACTTCCCTCATTGGGTACCAAACGCATCTTCCAGGGAAAGAGTTTTCATTGAGAGCAGTTAAATCAGATGGATAATGAAAGCAGAGCCTCTGCCTGCAGATGTGGCTGGAGGCCCTTAATGAGAGAGAGATGCCAACAAATATAGAGAGGGACTTGGAGAATGGAAGCAGCTGTACTGTGGAGGAATCCTACATGAATTTCAGAGCTGGTAAAGAATTGGGGATCAGAGAAGGACAAGTGAGTTGAGAGAACTTTTGTAAGTGAAGCAGTGATTTCAGAGGAGGTTTTGGAAGTTTTGGCTTACTAGAACAGCCAGCAGCCTCAATAAACAGAAGATTGAAAAGAAAAATCCATTTAATCTGGTAAACTTGTGTAAAATAATACCCAATCTTTATGCAATATTTGTAAAAACCTTAGAAAGACTAAACCTTTAGAGAATTATGCTTGCTAACATTCCCCGGCTGATAAGCTGTATTCTTCCCATTTTGTGGTTGAGGCAAGTAGTGTATTAGTAAGAGAGTAGATTTGATCAAGTGCAGTGCACTTGTATCTTCTGTTTATTTTGTGAAGGTCTGTGCATCCCATGAGGCACAAACAATATTCTAGATCAGTTGTGGAACTAGGAATTATGAGGTCTCTTGCACATCCATCACGTCTTACAATGGTACAAGTGACTGCTGTAACGGCCAGATGTTATCTTGATTGATGGCTAAACATCTTGGTAAACTTCATGTACCAGACTATGCTGAGGCAGAAGTTGATTTAGACTCAGTGTTTTGAGAAAGGAAGCTTTTAATATCTCTCTCTGCTAAACCCCTTTCTAAATAAATGCAGGATGTTAAATTGATGCTGTGTAAGATTGCATCACACTGCTGTGCAGACAGCTAAATGAGAGCAGAAGAACTAGACAGTATTTAGTCATAAAATGGAGTTTTGCCCATGATGTTATCAGTAAGAAAACTCATACTATTGCAAAGATGCGAATGCTGGCTTAATTATATGTTCCTACTAGCATAAGATGCTTTTAGATCTTTCCCTCAGACTCATGTACTGTGCTAATTAACAGTAATCCAACTGGAGGATCCCAGAGCAACACTTCTGCATATTTTTTTTCAGCTTCTGCTTGTGCTCTGATGTTCTTTTCTTAAATAATTAATAATCATTACTGCCTGCTGTGCTGTGGGTATGTGCTAGTGATCTCGGATCCCAGCACATTTGCACCATTCCTGTTCCTGTTGGCAGCTTGGGTTTGCTCTTTGCAGAGGCTTTCATGTTAAGACCCTCATTAGCTGGCAGTGGGGTGTGGATTTCAGTGGCACACAGCTTTGATGTCATTAAGCAGCAAGCTGTTAAAGGAAGTGCCACCTACTGCATTACTGTGACTTGTTTTATGCAATTAAGTTAAATACTGAGTGGAAAACAGATGCATTTTACTAAATAACAGTACACAAAGCGTTTTTATCTTCAGGAATTTTATACCTGCCTTGCTCACCCACCAATGCACTGTTACTGAGCACTGTTAACTGTTAAGCCTAGTTGGGAAACCAAAATGCAGGTAAGTGATGGAGCAGGGGGTGATGGACCTTTGCTGGCTTCATTTTCTTAATTCCTCTCTATGTTTGCTCTAACTTTACTCTGCTTCAGGCTACCTAGGGGAAGGATTAGCGTGCTTGAATGCCCAGATGGACACTCAACCTAGTTGGGGGTCCTCACAAGATGGTATTTTCAGTGTTTGCTGACTTAGTCTGAGTTAAGATGCACTGGATTTCGCAGTCTCTTTAACTTTCTTAGCATATTATCATTGCAAAGTGGAGGTGTAACCCTGTTAACGATGCTGTGATTTATCACACACGGCACTACAGGAGCGGTTGCACTCCCTGGCCTTGCCCGTGGACCAGGACGGCTGGAGGGGGAGCGTGAGCGTCACTCAGAGCCCGATCCAAGGGATGGTTCTTCAGGTAAGCGCATGGCTAGCACCGGAACGGGGCTGCGTGCCCCCCGCCAGCACCCTGGATGGCACCGGGCTCTCGCCTGGGCTCGGCACGCCCGGCCCCTCGGCGTCTAAGGACTGCGTGCAGGCCCCGCCCCTTCCCCGCCTGGCCCCGCCCCTTGGCGCTGAGTTACCGCCTCCCCGGGAGCCACCGCCCCGCCCCTTCCTCCCGGCCGGCGGCGGGTGGTGCCTGTGGTGCTGCCGCTGCCCTGGGCGCCGGGACGCGGCGGATCCCTCCCCTGGAGCCGCCCAGGCACCTCCTTCCCTCCCTCCGCCCGCCCGCCCTCCGTCCCGCCTCGGGCCGCCGCGGTGAGTCACGACGGAGGAGGCGGCCGCTCCGCTCCGCTCGCTCGCCCGCCCGCGTTCAGAGCGCCCGGCTGCTGCCGCCGCCCGTGCCGCAGGACCGCCGGGGCCGGCCCCGGCCCCGCACGCAGGTG